TCAAGGCAAGACCCTTTCCTCAAAAAACATTGCAGAATATGACATCCCAACTATAGTTGGACAGAAAAAAGGTAGGATGGGAATAGTCTGTTTCAAATGGGCTTCTAGGATTTTCCTTTCTTTGTCTGTGAATGTAAGTTGTTAAATGGTGGCTAGCGTGGATTTCTGGCCGCCTCATGGGCTAGTAAAAAGAAAAAAAAAACAAGAATGGAGCTGACATATAGCCAGGATTGGATCTGATAGTGAGATCCATTCCACTTTTACTGTCTCCATACACTTATATTAAATTCCGCTTCATATGTTTGGCTGTCAGAAAGATTATTAGGCAGAGTTGATTAGAAAAATATCACTCTTTCCTGCTCCAATTTTATCCAGACTAATTTGGCAAAGCAATTGATTTGATACTCCTCATTCTAAACTAATAAGGCTATATCATTTTTAATGTGCCAAGAATTGTTTGTCCCATAGAAACAATTTGCTGGGTAAAGTGAGGCCGCATAGTCCAGTCACAGGACATTTTATTCTGTTTTCAAAGAAAAGGTTATTTCATAGGTTGTCTGTCAAGTGAGTGAGGGAGTATTTAGAAGAAAATGGCAGCCATCCTTAACATCTAGCTTTGTCTTCATTGGTGTATCTGTGGGGCCCTGGTCCCCTCTGTATGGTTTGTCATTTTGATTGTTTTAGTCCAGACTGATTATTTTATCTACGCTTAATTGTGCTTCTGGATTTTCTATGCCACCTGGAATCTAACAGTATGGGCAATTATAATAAATTTAATAAAAGGATTAACTTAAATTGGAACATTTTATGACGTTTGTGGCATTAAATTGCCTATGGGCCCGATTTTTTATTCCTCAATATTTTTAGCATATTTATATCCTCAATTAGTATAATTTTTGCATTCAGCTGTGCTTCTATTTTGTCATACTGTTAGAGATCTAAGATTCTGTCCACATGTTCTCCAGATGTTTTTGACTTGATCATCCATACTAGAGATGCCCTTATTAACATCTGAAAGCTGAGAATTTTAGAATGATTGTTGCTGTCTCTTGTGCTCAATTTTGCTGCGTTCATACAACAAAACTTTGGACGTGTGAATTGCAGAAGCGCCCATTTTATTTATGGGATCTTAATCTGACTTTCTTTCCCATAGATACCTCAGCACCTTTGCCCGCCTCCTACAGTCCACGCTATGTCGAAGCTGCCTGGTATCCTTGGTGGGTGAAAGAAGGTTTTTTTAAACCAGAATGCCAGGTAAAAATGTTTCTGTAAAATTATTAATATTAGTCTTTGTCATGAGCGAATGCGCCAACTTTTGATAGGTGAGAAAGTTGATAAAACTTTTTTCTTCCTTTTCTCATAATAGTGACTATTTGAGTCATCCAATCCAATTGGCTGAGGATGCATTTCACACAATTTCTCATGCACCTGTGACATTCCTTAGCTATGATGAGTCACATAGGGAACCCCTTGCCATCATGTGATTTGTATTTTGGGTATTTGGCAACTGGCCTACATTTGTGGCTATTCGTAGCATCCCATAGTCATGTGACTCCAATTTACGTTTTTGCGCCGGAAACCAACTTCCAGTTTCCAGCAAAAAACGGCCATTGCAGACAATGGGCTTGCTTAACGACTTCTGTAAAAAAAGTGTCATAAAGTTGGGTTGGTCATGTAAATTACCTGCTACTAGCATGACTTACAACCGTAATTCCTGGCTCAATTACAGTTGTAAGTCGAGGACTAGCTGTACAAATTTGAATTAAATGAGTGTTTCATTTTTATTTTTTTTTCATTTTTCATTTTATTATATTTATACCCCGCCCTTCTCCCGTAGGACTCAGGGCGGCTTACAGCCAGTTAAAAACAGTTTAATACAATACAATACAATACAAAGTTTTAAAAATCATTAAAAATAAATATTTTAAATCGGCCGCTTCTACTAAAATTTGGCTAAAACCAATTTAAAATACCCCTAGGCCAGTCCTGCCCGCTGAAACAACCAGGTCTTAAGGGCGCGGCGAAAGGAGGGGAGATCCGGAATCACCCGGATCTCTGGGGGCAGCTCGTTCCAGAGGGTGGGTGCTCCGACAGAGAAGGCCCTTGCCCTGGGGGTCGCCAGCCGACACTGTCTGGCTGACGGCACCCTGTGAATAGCATTTTCTGTGGGAAACACTAGTCAAACTGTTTTCATACTTAGTTTGTAAACAAACTGGAGAAGAAGGCACTTCTGTCACATTTTTAAGAGTTTCAGGGTTTGTAGTACCAGTCTGGAGCCTCAGTAGGATGGTATGGAGGTGAACTCAGATCGATGCTAAATCCAGTTCCTCTTTTTGACAGCAACACCTGCCCCATAGGAAGCCAGAAACATTTTCTATTTCTCTCCCGCCACCTAATGTCACTGGATCCCTTCACCTGGGGCATGCCTTGACGGTGGCTATCGAAGATGCTTTGGTACGATGGTAAGTGTGTTTCTAGAGAGTTGGGAAATGGTCGTGCAGACCCTTGAGCATTAATAGCAATGGACCCCACAGGCTTTAAGTTGCATTTTAGTCATGCCAAATCACTGAGAAATAGAAATATCTATAAAAAGGGAGATGAATACAAAAAAAATGGCACTACTTCTGGGAAATTAGAGTGATGTGGTTGAATTGCTTCTATTGGCAATGACGTGGTCTGTCTTCCAAATGTGGGACAACCTTTCCTTAATTTAGTGTTTCTTGACCTTGGCAAGTTTAAGATGTGTGGACTTCAACTCCCAGAATTCTTTAGCTATGCTGGCTGAGGAATTCTGGGAGTTGAAGTCCACACATCTTAAATCTGCTAAGTTTGAGAAATATTGCCTTATCTGACAGCAATACTTGTCCTTTTCCCTTCCTGTTCCTCTGCATTTTGGGCATTTCTGTTTGAATCTGAAAGCCATCTAACGATTTGGAACTTTTAAAGAAGATAGTTGAATTTTAGATTTGTTTCTCCTTGATGTGTTCCAGGAGACGAATGCAAGGCTATCAAGTTCTCTGGCTTCCAGGTTCTGATCATGCTGGGATTGCAACTCAGGTGAGAATCAGCAGTTCAAAGCTGAAGCTTTTAATCCTGAATAATAATTGATCAGTCTTCCGCTTCCTGTAAGGATTCTAATCCTTTTAGAATTAACTGGAAGGATTCTTGGGGTGGAAAACGGGGTGGATGTGAATTACTAAGCATATTTTAACCCAACTTTCTGCCCCAAGAGGAAGACTGTCACCGTGGCTTTTAATCAAACCAGAAAATATTTTAAAAAAATCTCAGCTCATTTAAATATACCAGTAGTCCTTGACTTAAAACAATTTGTTTAGTGATTGTTCAATGGCACTGGAAAAAGTGGCTTATGACTGTTTTTCATACTTGGACAAGCATCCCCACGGTCACATGATCAAACTTTGGATGCTTGGCAACTGACATGTATTTATGACGGTTGCAGTGGCCAGAGGTCATGTGATCAATATTTGCGACCTTGTGACCAGCAAAACCAATGGGAGAGCCAGATTCACTTAACAACTGTGTTACTAACTTAACAACTGTAGTGATTGCAATTAAGGCAAAAAAAGCTCCTAAAATGGGGCAAAACTCACTTGTCTTGCTTAGCAATGGAAATTTTGGGCTCGGTTGTAAGTCAAGGACTAACTGTATACCATTGGGATAGATTCTTGGTCTCACTTGTGAATCTCTCACAAGTTTTTATGTTCTTTCTTCATCTGATCAGGCTGTGATAGAAAAAAAGATCTGGAAAGAACGGGGAGTTTTGCGCCAAGATCTCTCACGGGATGAATTTCTCCAAGAAGTTTGGAAGTGGATCGAGGAGTGAGTATTAGAAGCGAAGAGGCTGCAGTGGATGGAATTGATAGTGACAATTTTCTGAATTAACAATAGGCTGAGTCTCTTGAAGGTTTAAGACAGGGGTAGGCAACCTTGGCTCTTTTATGACTCATGGACTTCAACTCCCAGAATTCCTGAGCCAGCCATGCTGAGGGAAAGGCAGAGTTTCCAAGCTGAGCCATGCTGGCTCAGGAATTCTGGGAGTTGAAGTCCACAAGTCATAAAAGAGCCAATGTTGCCTACCCCTGGTTTAAGAGACCCAGTTTGGTGTTGTGGTGAAGGTGTTGGCCTGGAAACCAGGAGACTATGAATTCTAATCCCACCGTAATCATGAAAGCTGACTGGGTGACTTTGGGCCAGTCACTCACTCTCAGCCCAACCCACATTACAGGGTTGTTTTTGTTGTGGGGAAAATAGGAGGAAAAAGGAATATAGTATATGTTTGCCTCTTGGATAAATAAATAGATCTATTTGCTACTTATTTCAGGAAAAAGTAATTTTTAAAAAAAAAAATTAACGCAAAATTTAACTCTAGCATTTTAATTTTTTATATATTGCTTTATGCTTTGAGGTGTTATTGTACCTGCTCAGAGCCCTTCTTTGAGGGCATATGGGCGGTTTAGAAATGTGAAATATAAATAAATAATGCTGTGGAAAGCCCTTTATGTGCTTTTGGCTACAAAAGATCAGCGGGGGGCGGGTATCTGTATCTTGGAGGTGGCTAATTCTGGTTTAAGAATAGATTAGATAGGAATGATTTAATGTTAAGGTTAAATAGATGAAAAAAATAGTGTTTTTCAGCTTGAGTAACTTTAAGGTGTCTGGACTTCATACTGGCTGGGGAATTCTGGGAGCTGAAGTCGAGACCTGGCTGAGGTTGAAAACCACTGAAACAGGTTATTGAAAGTAGAAACTGGGCAATTTCTCTCTGAACATCTAACCCTGTCGAATGCTTTGTATTTTCCTTTATATTTCTGACCAAAAAAAAGGTTTGTTTTATGTTGTCTTTCTGCAATATCAGGAAAGGGAATGAAATATTCCAACAGCTGAAAGAGATGGGAGCATCTTTGGACTGGGACAGAGCCTGCTTTACTATGGATTCGGTGAGTAGTTGATAACAAATGTTTTTTGTTGGCCAGGCTTTCTGTATTCTTTCCCCACATTCAGAGAGCAAAAGGCAGCAAGCTCTCAATTTAATAGAATCCAGTTTACAAGTTTTAGTATTCAGCAGACAAAATTCTATCTGCCCATGGTAAGCTTTGCAGTGTGTAAAATGACACATGTACACAGGTAGCTTGACTTACAATCGTAATGGAGTCTGTCCGTTATGATTGTCCGTTATGATGGTCATAAAGCGAGTCACCTATACAACTGACCCAATTACAGCAGTCTTTAAGCATACATGTTGGTCGTAAAATGAATGGCACACTCATGAAGTGGATGCTGCAGTTGTTAAGAGAACCCATTGTTTGCTGCGGTGTGAATTTGCCAAAATCCGGAAATAAATGCTAGTTTTTGGCAAAAGTGATGATGATAATAATAATAATAATAATAATAATAATAATAATAATAATAATAATAATAATAATAATAATAATAATAATAATAAAGTTGGAAGGGACTTTGGAGGTCTTCTAGTCCAACCCCCTGCTCAGGCAGGAAACCTTATACCATTTCAGACAAATGGTTGTCCAGTTTCTTCTTAATTGTGGTCATATTACCACAGGATGTTGTAAACAGCCATAAATGTGGGTTGATTGCCAAGGATCTGAAATGCAGTCTGAAATGTGGGATAATAATAATAATAATAATAATAATAATAATAATAATAATAGTAGTAGTAGTAGTAGTAGTAGTAGTAGTAGTAAAGTTGGAAGGGACCTTGAAGGTCATCTAGTCCAACCCCTGCTCAGGCAGGAAACCCTATACCATTTCGGACAAATGGGTGTCCAGTCTTTTCTTAAAAACTTCCAGTGTTGGAGCATTCACCGCTTCTGGAGGCAGGTTGTTCCACTGGTTAATTGTTCTCACTGTCAGGAAGTTTCTCCTTACTTCTAGATTGCTTCTCTCCTTGATTAGTTTCCACCCGTTGCTGAAATGCAGATCTGAAATGTGGGGTGGGATCTGGCTGTTGGAACTGAATACCCTCATCCATCATAACTTCAAATGGTCATTAAGCCATAAGTCAAGGACTACCTGTAAATGTCCATTCCCATTTTGTACAGGCACATTGTGTAAAAACTCCTGCATGGATCATTACCTTGAAGTGGTGAAGGGGCTTGCATGTCCCAGTGATACTGATTTAATAGACTGAATTTCATAAATGCAGTGCCTGAAGAACTCTGGACCAAATTGTGTGGTATTGTTAAAGATGTGTGGTATTGTTAAAGATGAAATAAGCTACATTATAAGAAACAAAAGTAGATAAAAATGGCTCTCTGCTGATACCCTGGGAACAGCTGAGGAAAGGATCAAAAGGCAACAGTGACAGAGGAAATTTTTACAAGACTAAATGTGAAATTCAAGGGAAAGATAAGAGACATTTACAAATGAAATTCCATTTAGCTTTCATATTCCACTTAAAGAATCATTTTCTACTCCCATTAGTGTCTCCCATTGAGTGTTTTTTGTGTTGGGATTTTGGCAGGATCTTTAAGACTATATCTTGCCTTAACCATTAATTTGGGAACAGTGAACAATTTCAGTTGTTTATCTTTTGGGAATAGTCATTTTCTTAACAAGAGAATCAGTAGTTATTGGCTTCAGTACTGAATCTGGGTGTAAAAATATCTAGGTTCAATTCCCCAGAGAGATATCAGGTTCATTGGCTGACCAGTCTCCCTTTTTCTATCTCCCTTTTATTTAAAAAAAAAAGGGGGGGGGAATATGCAGGAAAATGTTTATTAAAATAAGCCTCTGTTAACATCAGTTCTTTTGAAGGGGAGAAGTTAACTTTCCATTTGTAGTTTGGAATGTAACTTCTCCATTTCAGAATGGGCCCTAAGTGTTTTTAGTGGAGTCTTTGTGGCTGTAGCATTAATTAGGAATCAGTAAGAGGGAATTCAGTTTTGATTTATGAGGCAAATTAGCCTTTATGGTGATATCTTTCAACCTTAGCAACTTTAAGATGTGGACTTCAACTCCCAGAATTCAGCAGCAGTAAGGGAATTCTGGGAGTTAAACTCCACACATCTTAGTTTGAAAAAGACGGATTTATTGTAACAATTCTCCTCCTCTTCTTGTCCAGCGTTTCTCTCAAGCCGTGACAGAGGCTTTTGTGCAACTTCACGAACAAGGCCTGATATATCGAGACAGGCGCCTGGTGAACTGGTCTTGTGCCTTGCAGTCGGCCATTTCTGACATTGAGGTATGCGGTTGGAATAGAACCTCAAATGAGGACTTTGGTAATATTTAGAGACTAGAAACTGATAGATCAGTGATGGCGAACCTTTTAGAGACTGAGTGCCCAAACTGCAACCCAAAACCCACTTATGCATCATTGGGTGCTGGGTGGGTATGGCCCATTGGCTGGGCGTGGCTGTGGTGGTAACGGTAGACTGGGTGGGACTAAAAAGTTCAATCAATCAATTCCAACTTTGCAAGATCTTTTTTTTTTCCTGCGAGAATTTGAAATTGACTGATTGATTGAATCTTTTTTTTTTTTTTGCACACGGCGGCGGAGGCCTAAAGTGAAAAGGTTTTATGAAGGCCTAGGACTGGGGCGACGGCGCGCGTGCCCACAGAGAGGGCTCTGTGTGCCGCCTCTGGCACCCGTGCCATAGGTTCGCCACCACTGTAATAGACTCTATTCCTGGCAGGTGGAGAATAGACGGATAGAAGGACGGACAAAGC